TTCCTGCCCTTCAGGGTGCTGTCATCAGACTTTCTCACCCCTGAATGACAAGCAGAGTCTCTTGGAATGTCATGCAGTGCCTGGACTGGGTTCTGTGCCTGCGTGGTCGTCCCTCGGTGAGTGAGAAACGAGGCCTGCCCTCCCCAGCTCTCCCTTCTGGTAACTGGGCAGAACTTCCCGTTCCCGATGGCACTGCCGCATGCAAGGTGCCCCGTCTCCCACCAGCTTCGAGGAGCATGTCTGTTATTCGGGAAGGAACACAGGGCCCCGACGCTGAGCTTGGAGCCTTCTGTACTCTCTCCTCCACCCGACAAGACGATTCTACTGGGCACTTCTGGAAAAGCCTGCGAACGGGTCTGTCACCGAAAGAGCAGCGGGCATTCCCCACGGAGCACCTGGCGGGGGCCCGATGGCTGTCCAGCTGGGCGAAGAGCTCACTCACCAGATGTTACCATGTAGGCTTTGCTCCCTTTACGGAAGACAGAGAAACTGTCGGGAGGATATTTCTGAAGACAGGAAGGAAAGCCTTTGCTACCCTGAGTCTGTGCCCACAACTTTCCACGAAGTGGACTTGTTCTCCACCTGGAACTTCTTTTAAAGGATGAAACTACATCTAAGAGCCCTCTAATGTTGGATGGATTGCCCCCCACCCCTGAGAGAGTCACACGTCGCCTTGAATCAGATACACCCCAACAGGATGTGGGTGCATCCATTAGGCAGTGACAGTTCGAACCAAAATGGAAACCGCCTTTGTACTCATCAAAGGGCCGTGCGAGGAGGGAAGCATTGTGCCTTTTGTGCTGGAGGTCTCTTAACAGACACAAGTTACACTCAGCGTGGTCGTTCCCCACACTTACTGGTGCGGGAAAGAGCCAGAAGTTCGTTTTTTTCTCCTATGTGGATCTCAGCTGCAGCATTTGGTTATGTGCTTGGTTTCATCAGCTTAGCATTGAAAAAAAGGTTTCGAAGGGAAAACAGGAGGAAACCAATAATGACCCTTTAAGTGGTGGTGGCACTTCCTAGTAGTGGCAGCTGAAGCTTCACAGCTAACCCTGGGAGAGGTACAGACAGCCCCTCACACCTGCAGGTGACCCAGGTCAGTCGGGGCTGGGCCACTGTAGACCCTCAGAATAGACTTGTCACTTGTTAGTAACTGGATAATATGGCCAAAGCATCCAGGGTGGCCAGCAGAGTCAGACAGGAAGAGAGGAGTCTTTTATAACAGCCAGCAAAGAGGAGTCTTTTATAACAAGAGCCAGAGAGGAGGGAACCCAGGTGGAAGGATTGGCTCGGGGGTCGGTGCACAGAGGGCAAATCGCTTCAGGGAAGCTGGGCCATGGAGCAGCCATGCGGTGAGGCATAGCGGGGGGGAGTGGCTGATGCTTCACAGGAAGGACTGTGCACTCTTTTTAAAAACATAATCATATTCTGTGGCATAACTGTGGCCTTGGGGTATGCCCACTGCCAGCAAGCAAGCTCAGTGCCATCAATAAGAGGAAGCCAGAGAAGGCCCTTCTTTGACCACCTGCAGCTCATCAGGAGGAATTAGAGATGACAGGTGATCGCACCTGGGGCCACAGAGACTGTTGGCCCTCTTTCACAAGCTCGCTATCTATAAAGAGTTATCTTGGGCACATACAAGATTCGCTATTAAGTTAGAGTGTAAAGAATTTGCCCATATGCTTTTTTTCTTCTCGTTTACTTTCTTTGGTTATTTTCCAAAGCCACCGCAACAGGTGAATGAAAGCTGATGTCGGGTGAAGCTGTGAGTCTCGACCCTGACTGCCTGCTACAGTCATCTGGGGAGCTTTATCAAAACACTGATACTCAGGGTCTGCTTCCCTCTGCATTCTAGTGGTCTGGAAGGAGGCCCAGGCATCAACACTTTTTAAAGCCCCTCCTTGAACATATAGCAAGACCTGAGTCATCAGCAAAGGTGTCAAGCTGACTCTTTTAAGGACAGCATTCCTATAATAGAGTTAGAGTTCCTCAAACTCGAATGTCTATACAATATTCTGGGGATCTTGTTAAAATGCAGGTACTAATTCTGTAGGTCTGGGGTGTGACCACACTTTGAGTAGCAAGGATATAGCTGACTCTTAAAGTTACCAGGTTATGAGGCCAGCCTGCCTCTTCTGGGCTCCTGCCGCCTCCGCGTGGGACAATTCTGCTGCTCTTGGTCCCCTCTTTCCTTTAGGCTCTGTTCAAATACCAGCTCTCGCTGGGGGCTTGGCCGACCTGCCACCCTCCAACGGGAACCCATCTCTCCCTGTCCCGTTCTCCTAACGGCTTTGGCCCGAAACGCCTTTAAAACACAAATTACAATCCCCCGTTATTTACAGTTCCTTGTGTTCTTGCCATTTGTTTCTGCCATGAGGTTGAGAGACTCGGGGGGGCGCAAGGAACACATTTGATTCATATATCTATTGCCCACGACAGTTCCATACTTTATAAAGAGTAGAGGGGACCTGGAAGTAGTGACTAAAATGGATTCGCAGAACCTCATCATACACCACATCTGCTTGCGGAAGTTATCTTTTTAAAGGTCGGAGGACGCAACCCTCAAGGTTGCAAATGTATACACCACAAGGCAGCCTGGTTTGAAAATCAGGTTGAGCGATGAGTTATACCGCCTGCCTGAGACTTCATCCATGCAACCGGTGCCAAAGAGGAGCAGAGCGGCCGCCTCAGCACTGGGGTTCAGTGCTGAAAAGGAAGTTGCTCCAGTGGGCACCGCTGAGCTTAGCGCACGGACACAGATGCAGAGCTGCAAACGCAAACAACGCCCCCCACGCTAACGGGAGGAAGGCTCCGGAGAGCTGCTCTGGACACCCTGGAAAGCGCCTCAGACTCCAGCCGAGGGGACATCCCTGGGGCCCTTCACCACGTGGGTTCGGTGAAACACGAGAAAAACGACGCAAAATTCAGTTCTGCTTCCAATGGCTTTGGCCCTAAATCAAAAAAAGCTAAAATCGCAGCTGGGCGGTGGGAGAAAAGGGAACGGGAACGGCCTCGTGCCTCTTAGGATAATTTGCACCCGGGTTTTCCAGAATCACGAGCACTGCCAAAGGGTCTGAAGAGATCAGTGACCTCTAGGTGACCAGCCCCCGACTCCCTAATTTCTTTGTAAATTACCGATATGAGACGAGAAGATAAACCGTTTGGAGGACTTTTAAAGAAATGCTTTGATTGACATGCTTAAATAAAGATGCGTACTCTGACAACTGAGCAATGCTCCGATCAATTAAAGGAACAACGTAGTCATTGCTGTAATTTAGAGTGACCCTCCCTCTTCGTCCTCCCCCGGCCTCCCCCAGGCGACACACCTCCTCCCTTCTGGTAGGCTGTTTCTGCTCCGTGAGCGCCAGTTCAATTGTTTTTCATTCAAAATCAAGTCAACAGCTATGAATAACTGTTAATAGAGCATCTACTCTGTTGTGCTAAGGGATTTCAAAACCTCACGTCCAAAAGCTGCCCAAGTATAAAAGATGTACGTAGGATTTCAACCTAAAAATGGAAGGAACATATGTCTAATTAATGCAGATTAAACCTTTGGATAAAGGTAGAAAAAATGTGTAAGGGGAAGGAAATCCTCATGACTTCATCCTCACTAGTTGTTTAGGCAAAACAAAAACAAAAAAAAACAAAACAAAAAAACCTACGTAGAACACCATTTAGCAACATAATAAACAAAAACAAAAAAAACAAAACAAAACAAAAAAAACCAAAAAAAACCTATGTAGAACACCAAAATTTTCATTTTCGCAACATAAAACACAGATAATAAACAATCAGTGTGCGGCTCATACCTGGTCCTGGGGGGCCTCTCATTCCAGGGAGCCCTGGTTCTCCTTCGGGTCCTCGTGGGCCCGGGACTCCAGGAAGTCCCGGGATTCGGGGGCAGGCCTCCAAATCTGCAGGTGGCCCCTGTTCGCCTGAAATTGGAATTACCGTTTGTGTGATGGATGCAACCGCCTATGAACAGGCTCCTTCTGTGTTCTCAAGTTAGGCTTCGGACACTACGCTTAAACATTACCGAGGTGCTGAACCACCTCCTGTAAGAGCCCCATGAAGCGGGCTTTGTTCACTTCGGGGTACGTGAAAAACTTTCTGAAAGCATTTTGTTGAACGCATGACTGAACGATCGAGCGAGTGAATGGGATCTCAAAGGAAGCAGAAGGAGTATACAGCACTGTGGGGTGGTCGAGTCAGCAATAATTTGGTGATCTTCACAGGATTTTCTATTTTGGGGCCGCTGTGTGCTGGGAAGCCAGCACGGGAGGCATCCAGAGAGAGGTACTGGTAAATTCCTAACCCCCAACTTAATGTCACTCTAATTCATCACATTGCCGCGTGAGGGAGTGGGATCCATAGTGTCTGTTACTCAAAGACACAGAACCTCAGGATTGCTAGGGCCACTAAGCCTGGCTTTTAACCTCGAGTGCCCGTTGGAATGATCCAGCGCAGGTGCTGGGGCCCGTGGAGACTTATTAAATGGGGATTTCTGGGGGTGGGACCCAGGCATCAGTAATTTTTTTCCAGATGATTCCAACATCGGTGCTGAGAAGCACCGGTGTAAAGCTGTCGTTCTGACTGTGGCATGTCAGTATCACCTGGCCAGGCTGTTAGAGTCCACAGCACTGAGCCAGCAGGTCTAGGGTGGGTCTGGCTTTTGTACACCTACTATGATCCCAGTGAGGCTAATGCTGCCAATCTGGGACCTCACTTTGCTCTAAAGGTTTGGATTTCTTTTTCCTTCTTGGTTACATTCATATCTTTAAGACTTTTTTTTTTCTCTAAAGCTCATTCAGTCACCCTGTGAACATACAACAAGGAAAAAGAAATAATAGTACGAGGCAATAATAACAGCTAACACGTATTGAGTGTGCTAGGTGATCAGGCCCTGTGTTCAGTGCTTATGGTCAAATGTTCCCAAACAGACTGTCTGTATGTGCTGCTATCACAGGAAAGAAAACTCAGGCTCAGGTAAATAAGTGACATATCTAAGGTAACCCATGGCAGAGTCTAGATTAGAATCCAGGATATTCTGGCTCCAGACCTGTGTTCTTAACTGCCAATGTTAACAGCTTACTGCCTTGACAACTCCTATCATCTGTGTGATGAATGCTAAGAAACGCCATGTATTTTAAGACACACCATTTATTAGTTATGGTTTTCTTAAAATCCATACAAAAGTGCAAAATAATTTTAAGAACATCAATGATAAAGCAGCAAGAAAATCCTGAAACATGCTGCCACAACCATAAAGTTAATAGTCTACACACCAGTAAATGCACCGATGCAGAACGGACTTGAATACTAAAAGGAGTTTGGAATTTAGTCTCTTATAAAATATCGTATGAAGCCACAAGCGATGCGGAGGTGGGTATATTTTTACAGTACGTACAGTTTAATAATGTAAGACCTGGTTTTTCTACTCTGGGTGACTTGGGAGAGATGCATGTGACTATTCCCTACTTTCCCTGAATGATCTGGTGAATGACGGTGATGATTCCGTGGTGGAGTGGGAGGAGCCAGTAAGGGAACTGGGGTGGCAGCGGGGGGGCCCTTTGGCTGGTACTTCAGATTTAGGATTTTGATATTATCTTCAAATGAGTTTATAAATACAGTAACAGAGAGACACTACAAGAATTGAAGTAAAAACTCATTAAATATCCAACTGTAATTTTAAATATAAATATTTAAAGCAATGTTATAAATGTTTTTAGAACTATGATTTTACTTTTCTTTACTTTTAATAAATCTGAAAGAAACAGAAGCTGAAAGAAAGGGGCTGAGGCATCTCTTCTTATGGTCCTAAAAATAATACAGGGCGTTTGTATCCAGGGCAGCTTTCATTAGGGTTAATAACAGACGCCTGGGGAAAACAAATGTGAGCCTTCACGGCTCTGCTTTTCTTCTTTTGAGCAACTCTTTTTATTCTCTTTGAAAATGGCAGACACAAAATAATATGTTGCTCTTGCTTTGTGGGGGATTAAGCAAGCATTCAGTTGAAAAGAATAATGACATTTTCATTTTAATACACAAAGAAATTTGCTCCTCGAAAATGGACTTTGGGTGTGATGGGGAAGGCTTGTCATAGTCCCTTAATGGGTGGTAAGGACCCATCTTTTCACGTTGTTGCTTATTTTAGGGATGTTCTATGTTTTCATACTGTAGAATTTATAAAAGAGACTCAACTAGTACGTACTGTAGCATTTGACAGAGAAAGGACCCATACTCTGCGCCCGAACTGAAATCATATAAGCTGAGTGTCTATGCCTTGACAGCCTGTAATGAGGCTCATAGGACACTAATATGGGGTTACTATATCTGTGACAAGGAAGCAAAGGCATTCAAGCTAATATAATTACAGCACCCCACGTATAAAAATGTTACAAAGTTTAACTCACTAATACAGTGAAAAAGGCAAATACAGAAATGACTGGAGACCAAGTTTAGAAGAAATTATTAATTTCATAGCAATGCTTACCTCTGGAACCTGGAGAGATCCCAAGCCACACAGTGATTGTCATATGTGGGAAGAGATTTTAAATTGTGAATGAGGACAAAAGTGAAATAGTTTGAGAACATAAATAATAACTTGAGGGCGGCATCAATGATAAACAGCGTGACAGCGTCTTAGTTACATAAAAAGTTCACAGAGTGTTACTGACAAGAACAGCTTTGATTTAGCAATGAAGTTTTCATATCTAGAAAAACCTGAAATGAAACCCTCTTGCACAATATCAAATTCTGTTGACTTCTTATGACGAATATGCCTTCGTTTCATGTCTATAGGAATTCTGTCCATTTAAAGACTTCTGGAAATCCCATTTTAATTTGCCAGGTTTTATAGGTTATGCGAAGAAAGGAAATATGATATGAATCAAAGCATAGGCTCTTTGTCACGTTGGACTATGACCCACCATCAAGCAATGCAGATTATTTATTCTTTGGAACTAGAGTGATAATTTAGGAGACGGCAAAATACTCTGAATTGATACCACGTTATCATAATATTGATTTAGGATCTTGAAAGATATTACTTCTGCCGATCTCAAATACACACATCTGTCTGCTCTTTCAACTCTTCCTTGGCTTATTTTGACACTGTGATGAAAACATGTTGTCTTAAATAGCCTTTCAACTTCATAGGGATTAATACACTTTATAGAAAATGGTAAATAAAACATCTAGGAAAATCATCGGGAATTCAGGGATAGGAACTGAATATACCATCCTCACATAACAATAATCAAATCAGTCTTTGTCTCTTGTGTAAGGAAACACAGACTTAATTATCTTAGAAACAGCATATAGAAAATCAACTCCTAATTTTTAAATGTACTCATTCGGATAATGAATATTAGTTTAACGAACACGAGACTTTGTAGTGCAGGCTGAAGTAAATATCATCTTTATATCAGAGAGGGCTGAACTCATAAGCGTTTTCTGGTAAGTTCAGAATAATTACTCTCTGAAAGATGACCGTGAGTAAATGTTTAAACAAAGTGCCGTGTGTGGGCTGCTGGGTGGAGGTGGTTAGGCGTTAGAAGCTTACCTGGAGGACCAGAGGGCCCTTGTCTGCCTGGAGGGCCAGGTAAACCCTTCTCTCCAGGTGACCCAGGAAGTCCATGTGGCCCCTGTGGCCCCGGGAGTCCCACTGGTCCTAGGAACATATAAAAACGAGGGCACTAGAATGGACCGATGTAAGGGCACCGGCAGTTCCATGGACTGAGTTCAGGGGTCGCTCTAACAACATGCGGGCAAACCTGGCCTCAGGGTCAAGGGCAGCCTCTCACCTTTTGTCTGTAAAGCTGAGAAGAGCTGCCTGAAAGAAACGCGACAATCAAGAGGACTAAGAGAAATGGTTCCATGACCGAGACAAAACTAAATGAGAATGAAAATCCTTGTCATTCTGAACTTTGGAGACAGTCAAAGGACCGGAACTGAAGGGAAAATGAGGAAAGATGCGTCTGTCTGGAGACAACGTGCCTCCCAGGCCTGAGTGTCCTCTGGGTTCCGCCACACCGGGCACCCGGTGCCTGGCACGTGCTGTCCCTTCTCTCCTCATCCTGCCTCACATCCTCCGGGAAGCCTTTCCTAGAAGCCCAGCCCAAGCCCAGCCGCTTTCTGAGCAGCTCTCCCTGAAGCGTGTCGTTCACTCAGGGCGCTTCTCTCAAGTCGATATGGAGGGAGCTTTCAGTGCGAAGGTCTGTCTTCCTCATGAAACGCAACTCTGAATAAGAGCGGGGACTGTACACCTGCAGGTCCTTAATACATGTCTGTGGAATCGATAAAACATTCCCCACTCTGCGAATCTGAAAAGGTAAACCGAGGAAAACCCCTCATCCTTCTCTCAGTGAGGCTCCCTAGAATGAAAGTTAAGCTCGATTAGTTCTTCTACCAATATTCTAACTCTCCGTACATCTTTTTGTAGGTCGCCGTTATTTATATGCATGCTGCTTGCCCAGTCCTGGAATTTATTTCCAGCTGGGGGGTTCATTCTCTAGAGTAGCAACTAGCGAGGTGCAGCGTCTTATCTCCTTCCTCTTGGTGACTAGAGTGAATGTCTGTCCAATTCTGGGGTTCTACGATTGGAAGGCCACATACCTGCAGCTATAAGCCACATTCTCTAAAATTTGTTTTATTGCTAATAAGGATGGAGAAGGTGGTTGTGTATTGTTGTACAGGTTGTGCACTGCACAATTCCAGAGAAGCCATTTGTACTGGAGTCATGGCAGCCTCACGGTGATTTTGATCTCACCTCTGCCCAGATCTTTCGCCTTATCTCATCTTTGGTTCAGAAGTTGGGCAGGGTACTAGTTACTGGGCTTCTGCAAGCTTCAACATTTGCTTCTCTGGTATCCAGCCTCCTTATTTTTCACATAAGAGAGTTAAAATGGGTAATCGTGATTGATCCCTTTTTGACGAAAACGTTCTGTGAATCATAATTCTCAGAAATCCTGGTGACCAAAAACTAACGTTAGCAGTTAGGTCAAAACTAATACAAATAAAGATTTTAGATAATGGTGAAATTCCGTCATAGGGATTCTTTTGTGAATCTAAAAGAGCAAAATCAACTGTCTAAAACTGAACTGTCCAATACAGAAGTCACTAATCACGTGTGGTCGAGCACTTGAAACTAGCAAGTCAAAACAGGGCTGAAAGTGTAAAATACACTTTGGACTCCAAAGGCGGGACAGAGGAGTATCTTACATAGGAGAAAAACTAGGTTTGTACAACCAGCCCCGATTGTCTCATTGATAATTTACACTGATTATATGTTTAAAACAATATTCGAATATATTGTTAAATGAAATAAAGTCTGTCAGTTAATTTCACTTTTTACTTTTTAAACATCTCATAATTACACATGTAGCTTGTACCATATTTCTATTGTCCGGTTCTGATCTAGAAGATTATCAAACGTGTTATTAGAGGCTGAAGAGGAACTTGGGTTTCTTCTTCTTACTTGTCCAACTGTCACTCAAACTTTAAGATTCTTTGGAAAGTCAAGATATCGGGAAATACAGTCACTGCTTCCACAGGAAATACGAATCAGACCCTTAGGGCACGTACTACTTGAGAAACAACTTCCATTCATACCTTTCTGGCCATCTTTCCCATCACATCCTGGGAGGCCTTTTTGTCCTGGAGGGCCTGGTGGGCCCGGGGGACCTGGAGGCCCTGGCAGACCATAGTCACCTGGTTCCCCTTGCAGAAGGTCAATACTCCCAGGGGGCCCTGGAGGCCCAGGTTCTCCTGGACACAGTGAAGAGGCAAAAAGATGCTTTCAGTCAAAGGCAGATGTGTGTGCTGGCTGCTTGATAGCTTCTTAAGGAAAGTGATTTAATGGTTTGCAAGCAAGGGATGGGAAGAATTAGAAGAATAAGAAAATCAGTAGTATCAGACGTGAAATGGAGAGTAGGTCTCATGGAGCCCAAGGTAAGAAATGGCGGGATCTTGTTAGTAACTATTAGACAAAATGAACCTGAGCAAAACCTTCCTTCACACATTCCTTTTAGAAGTGTCTATTTATGATTTTTGTTTGCATTGCCATCCCACTGCCTTAATGTGATAGATAAAAGATAGCTAGGTAGGTAGGTAGATAGGCGATAGATAGATAGATAGATAGATAGATAGATAGATAGATAGATAGATAGATAGATAGATAGATG